GATTAGGCACTAATAGACGGGGCTCATATATAAGGCTAAGTATAGATGATGGGTTTTTGGGTGATCTTCTATAGCGCACACCTACAAACCCTAAAAATAATATTAGGAGGTTCCCTATAACCATTTTTTTAGGGTTCCCCAATAACCACTTATCAGTGGAGTTTTTTTAGGGTGATTTATTGAAGATGATCTAATGGGCCGGCCCAACTTCAAACGCTAGTGGAAAATCACACATATCTGGGAGCAACTAGTTAACGAGCGCTCTTTCAGGAGCCTCGCAACGATCAGCGCCACTTGGCGCGCTCTCAGCCATTCACCACGTGTCGCGCTCTGGACGCTCCCTTCGGATTTTATTTTTTATTTTTCTGCACGCGTTTTTGGCTTTTTAAACGGGGTTTATTCGGTTTTCTTTGACGTTTTGGTTTTCCCCCGGTCTTCCTTACCTTTTCGATAAAAAAATTCAAAAAAAAATTTGCGTGAAAAAAACACTTTTTTTCGTGAAAGTCATGGTTTTTTCCCGCGAGAGGCACGGTTGTGCTTTAGCGAGAGTCACGGCCGTGCCTTTCGGAAACGGAAAAAAACATGTTTTCTATTTTTTTTATTTCGCGAGAGTCACGGTTTTGCTTCCGCGAAAGGCACGGTTGTGCTTTCGCGAGAGTCACAGCCATGCCTCTTGAAAAGGGGAAAAAATGTGTTCCTGTTTTTTTTCTTTCGCGAGAGTCACGGTTTTGCTTCCGCGAGCGGCACGGTTGTGCTTTCGCGAGAGTCACGGCCGTGCCTCTCAGAAAGGGAAAAATACGCGTTTTCTATTTTTTTTTCTTTCGTGTGAGTCACGGTTTTGCTTCTGCGAGTGGCACGGTTGTGCTTTTTGCGAGAGTCACGGCGGTGCCTCTCGGAAACGAAAAAAACGTGTTTTCTCTTTTTTCCTTCCACGAGAGTCACGGTTTTGCTTCCACGAGAGGTACGGGTGTGATTTCGCGAGAGGCACAGGCGTGCCACTTTCGGAAAGGAAAAAAAACCGTGCTCCCGGTTCGATTTTTTCGCCCTGTTTTTTTCGTTCGATTTTTTCGTGAAAAAAATTTCGTCAAAACCTATCAACATGGGATCTAGTTTTGAAGATCTCGACGTGAGGAATTCAATGATGAAAACGGTTTGAGATTTGGACGTACGATTTAAAAGATAAAACGTTTTGAATAAACGGATCTACGAAAAAAGGGTAAACTCCCAGGTTGCGACAAGTGACGCGCTGCATGTGCGCCACTTGTCGCGACATGAGAAAGTGAAGTGTTCTTTGTAACGAGTACTCCTTAATTAATGATTTCGCATATATTTCTACCTACTAATAAAGCAGATATTGCTTCTACCCGTACGTCAAAAAAATTGCCCCCCGAAATTGCTATAAATTACCCGCTATGCCATTCGTAAGTGAAGAAAATGATTCAATTTTTCTTTTAAAATCGCCGTCGTGCTGAGTGTTTTTATATATGTAATATCCCAGATATACTATGGATACACTAGCAGCGCGGTGGCTCGATCTTGTCTATTCCACCCTGAAGACCAGCATTCGAACCCCAGCTTCTACTAATATTTTCCTCCACCTTTTTCTCACACACTTCTTCCCCCCACTTAGGCCTACATGGGCCGGCCAGCGGGCTTAACGCCCTGTTTTTTTTTGTTTTTTTGTCTTCTCTTTTCTCACTTCTGTTTTTGTTTTCTCCTTCTTTAAATTAATTCCAGATTTTTGAATATTAAAAAGGTGCAAGCTTGAAAATATGTTTGAGAAATTATAAAATGTGTGTGAATTCAAAAAAGTTCAGGAAATCATAGAATTTTCGCAGTTTCAAAAAATGTTAATGATTTTACAAAAATGTTCGCAAATTATAAAAAAATCATAATATGGAAAGAAATGTCGTTACATAAAATCAAGTTCGTGATCTTGATAAAAAAATCCTGTATTTAAAACATATTTGTGCATCTGAAAAAAAGTCGATGAAATTTTAGAAAATATTTAAAAAAATCAATTTTTTTTGTGAAATTCAAAATTTGTTCCCCAATTTTAAAAAAGTTCATCGATTTAAAAAACGTTTTCTGAGTCATCATTAATTCGAAAACTATTCAAGCATTTCAATAAATGTTCATCTAAAAAACAAATGTTCGTGAATTTAAAAAAAAATGCCTAAATTTAAAAAGAATGTTTGTAGATTCAAAAAACTGTTCTGATTCAAAAGTATTTTATATCTAGGATTTGATTTGATTAGTTTTTGGTAATTCTTTTATGTCTTGGCGTTGCCGAGTAGTTGTGGTCGATGAGATTTGTTTTTAAAATTTTAAATATTTCCTTGCGCAAGACAGTGACAAATGTGTCCAGAGGCAGAGGACGAAAAAAATTTAAGGTGTGGCGAACTTTTAAGTAAAAAATTCATGTGAATCCTCAGAAGAAT